TATAAAAAAAATAATTTTTCATTGATTTTTTTAATTTACAAAATTATTTATATTTTTCACAAGATATAATGATTACTCAAATGTCACCCCAAAATAATAATGGGTCCATTTGGATTAGCGGTAGAAAAAGTAATTTATTTTCAATCTGACTTTTAGAAAAGTAAGATTGGATAAAAATTAGATTGAATAATGTGATTTATGTTTGGATAAACTTTTATAAAAGTTAGTTTATAAAGTAGAAAAGTTATTTGGATTATAGTTAGATAAGTAAGTTTAGTTTGTAGAATGATCAAAATAGATGTGACTTTTATTAAATAATGGAAAGCGATTAAAAATATGAATTTACAAAATAGTGATTTTAAATTATTATAATTGAAAGAAGTTATATTTAATAAATAAAAATATATTTAAATCAGAATTCATAGTAATGTGAAAATTTTTGAACCAAATAATATTAATATAATTAATTGGATAATATACTCTACACAATTTATGTAAATATAAAATGAAAGATAATATTAAAAATTAAAAATATTATAAAAGTTATGTTAAAAATTACTTCTACCTAAGAGAGTATTAAAAATAATAAGCAATTTGCAGATAGAAGCGCAAGAACAATATAAATATAAGGGTAAACATGTCTTTTAATTTCAAAAGGTTACTTTTATATAAGTCATGAGTAAGTTTTATATACTTCTGCAATCGTACTTAAAAAAGTAGTTGTTGGCCTACAAGTGAGATTGGCCAAAAGCTTCAACAAACAGCTTCCAAATTTACAAATCGACTTATTAAATTTTTAAGTTACTTTTGGCCCTGAAAACACTGCAACAAACAGGCACAATGCTTTTCCATTTCCTTGCTCTTCTACATTAGCTCTTCACACATATCAATTTGATTCAAAGGGAAAAGTGTCAAAACATGATTTTATTAGGGTACCAAAGGGGTAGTACATATGGGGTATTCAAATAGGCCCATCCCGATCCCGGCCATATTGGGACAACACGGGACAAAAAATGGGTTTTGTGTCTCGTCCTATCCCCGACAGTAATATTTGTTTTTATTTTTTTATCATGATATACTTATTAAATGTTAAAAAAACAAAATGTTTGAGGCATGTGTAATACAAAATGTTTATATTTATAGCTTTCAAGATATATGTAGTTGAATAGTTATTATTTATTTAAAGTTTTTATAGTTGCTTATGATTTTTGAAATGGTGAAAATGAATTTTGGAGTTATTATGTTACTGATTATTATTTATTTGGACTTTTTTTTTTAAGAGAGCTAAGCCCAAAGAAATAAAAAAGGAAAAAAAAGATGCTTTCAAAAAGACTAAGCCCAAAGAACTAAAAATAGAAGAAGAAAAACAACCAAAATCCATTGCAATAGGTCCAACCACAAAACAATTTTTTTTTTTTTTAAAAAGGGATGTCCTAGTCCCATCTCGGTCCCGGTGAGACAGGATGGGACACGAAACAAATTTCATATGCCATCTCTATTCATCAGGATGGGACTGGGAGGGCTTGTCCTGGTCTCGTCATGTCTCCTAAACAACTAGCAGTGGATGGAAAAAATAAGTTGAAATTAATATTATTTGAATATCCAAATAAGCTAATACGTCATTTCAGTTGAAAAATTAATATATTTACTGGATGCTAAAAAATACCATTCTGAGTCTAATACCATTTGTTAGGTTTGAAAGAATATCATCCCATGTGTTTAACACTATTTTGGATATGAGCTTCTTTTTTTCTTTTTTTGGGTCATAATAGAGTGTTGTAATGTATTCTTGAGGTTGACAAATTAATATGCTTATTGTTTATTTCTTCATTCTTATGTGACCTAATTTTGATACAATTTATTGGATTTAAGGAGGTATTATTTTGAGTATGATACCACTTAGAAGGCTGGAGAAAATATTACCCAATATATATGATATCAAATTGAATATGAGCTTCATTTTTCTTTGTCCTAGCATAATGTGACGATGTGACCATTATATTCTATTTTAGGAATACTTTACGAGGAGTCTACTAGCCAACAACTTAGTGAATGACATGGTGAATCTCACCTCTCTGAGGGTGAGCAAAACCAAGTTGTAATCGAAAACCAAATTGAACCAAATTCAATTTTGATTTTTCTGTTCATCTATTTCAGTTTTTAGTTAAATCTTCATTTTTTATTTTTTAACTATTTGGTTTTTAGTATTCGGTTTGGTTATTTAAGAAAAATTCCGTTAAAACCAAAAAACCAAAAAATATTTATATTTAATAAATATTGTTATAATATATATACGCGTGTGGTCTTCACACTTATCAATTTGATTCAAAGGAAAAGGCATTAAAACGTGGTTTCATTAGGGTGGTTGAGGGGCAGTGGATGGCAGAAACAACAAAAAAAAAAGCTGAACTTAATATTATGTGAATGTCCAAACAAGCTAATGCATCTTTTGAGTTGACAAATTAATATGTTTAATAGATTTTAAAAAGTACTGTTTTGAGTCTGATACCATTTATTGAGTTTAAGAGAATATCATCCTTTGTGTTTGACATCACTTTGGATATGAGCTTCCTTTTTTTGGTCATAATAGAGTGTGGTAATGCATTTTTTTAGTTGACAAATTAATATGCTTATTATTTATTTCTTCATATTTATGTAACCAAATTTTGATATAATTTATTGGATTTAAGGAGTATTATTTTGAGTATGATACCACTTATTAGGCTTGAGAAAATATTACCCAATGTGTCTTGTATTACTTTGAATATGAGCTTCATTTTTTTTGGGTCCTGACATAGTGTGATGAGGCAACCATTATCTTCTATTTTAGGAATACTTTATGAGGGGTCTACTAGCAGACACTTAGTGAATGACATGATAAATCCCATCTCTCTAGGGGTGAATGAAACTAAACTGTGATTGAAAACTAAACTGAACTGAATTTAATTTTAATTTCTTTTGTTATTTCAATTTTTGATTAAATATTTGGTTTTTATTTTTTAACAATTCAGTTTTCAGTGTTCAATTCGGTTATTTAAAAAAAATCAGTTAAAACCAAAAAACCAAAATATATTTATATTTAATAAATATTGTTATAATAAATATATATATTTGGGTGTATACAAGCTTCAACTATGTGTTTAAATACATTTTATTTAATAAATATGTTTATAATAAATATTATTACACTAAGAGTAAAATACTCTGACTACTCTTCTAGTTTGTATCAATTACACAGACCTCCCTTCTATTTTAAAAACATACAGTTTAGTCCAATTAGTCAACACCGTTAGGAATATTCTACAAATATTATTTTTAACTGAAATTCATATCAAAATAAAATTTATTTATTATTTTACTCCTCATTCTAATAAATTCCTAAATTATATTTTTACAGTTATATCAATTTCATTTAGTTAAGGCAAACATAAAATATTTGATTAAAAATTTGACTAATTTTATGATTTAAAGTAAAATATGGAAATTATAAAATCTTATAATTTAGATCAAAATTAATAATTTTTATCCATATTAGAAATTTTAAAGATAATTATTTTTTGGTTTTATAAAAACATTTTTTGGAAAATATAAATGTCTAAATAATTATTAATTTAAAAGGGGACATTTTGGTCAAAAAATAATTTGAAGTCAAACTTAACGGTCAACTAACGGTTTGGGTGAATAAAAATAAAATCTTAAATATACGAGGGAGGTTTGTGTAACATATGTTTTAACTGTAAAAGAGGTTTATATACGTTTTCAAAATAAAAAGAAAGTTTCTGTAATTGAGCTGAAATAGAAAGGTAATCAGTGTATTTTACTCTTACAATAAATCATCTTAAATAATAAAATATTATTAGTTAATGATTATGATTATGTTTTATTATGATTTTAATTTAAAATCACCTTTTACATTTATAAATTTTGGTTAAACTTGATTAACCAAAACAAAATATTTCAATTAATTTGGTTTTAGTTAATTAGTTTCAATTTGGTGTTTAAAATTGACTTTATTTGATTTTTTGATTAATTCAATTATTACTGAAAATCGAATCAAAAAAACTGGATGCTCACCCATGTACCTCTTCATAATATTAGAAAAGTGTTTTAACATATATAATCTAAAATGAAAATTGACTATTACTTTTCTAATCCTAGATATAAGATCTATTTTATATTATAAATGATTGGGTAGGCTTCGTATCAAGGCTCAATCCGGTTAGGTCCATAGCATCTACCAATCTCGTTGGGATTTTTTTTTCATTTAAATTATGAGAATTATTCCTATACAAAGTGTTTCTTTCTATTTGCATTAGATACACATATTTGGTCGAATAAAAAATGATTCTATTATTTCTATATTCGCAATTTAATATACATGCTCTTACATTTACGAGTATTTTTTAATATTTCAATTTAAAAAATGATAACAATAATTATGTGTTCCACTCCCACCCTGAACTCCCAGCAATATTGTGCTTCGCAATATGAAGTGACCGGCTGGTAACGATCATGTCTTACCTTACTTGGCAATCCAAATGATTGTTATTTGTTAATGCTGCATCTGCTAGCGAAAGACATAGCTTCACATTATGAGTTGGTCTGAAATCGTGTTAAGGTGTTTTAGAACTTGAATTGGGAAATGGATTTGTCAAGAAGACGATAATGGATCTGGAAATGTTCGTTGATTTTTAGTTGATTTTTGGATTGTTAATTTCTGAGTTTGATTGAGGAGGTGTTTGGCATTTTCAAAACTGCAGTTTTAGAAGTATTTTTTTGTAAAACGAAGTAATCTTCTCCACATATTTATTTCGTAATCTGTAAAAATACTTCTGAAACTATGATTTGGTTTCTATCCAAACACCACTGAATCGATTTGTGGGACAATCGTGTTAGATTAGAATTTGCCGTCGAAAATATTGTGCCGGTGGTCACGAATCACGATGTTCGGTCTTCTCTGTGGAAGGGTTTTTTTCTTCCCTGTGAGATTTTTGTACTTTCCTTTCACTTCCCCTCCCGCTCACTTCTATTATTGAAGTCCATCATCAAGTAAAAGCTCTAGAATGCTTCTTTGGAGAAGAACAACTCTCTCCTTCTTTAACAATAATTTTGTACGCCACCACCTCCGCTCGCTGGCAAGCGCCTCGCCGAAACCCCACCTTGCCAACCCCATCACGCCGGTGAACCCCCAACAACTCCTCCGAGTGTGCACCGTTCTCTACCAGCAGCAGGACTCGCCGGAGCCCAGACTCCACTCCAAGCTCTGGTCCTGCGAATTTGATCTCACCCACGAGTTCTTCATTCAGGTGTGCAACAAATTCCCTTATTCATGGCGACCTGTGTACCGCTTCTTCCATTACACCCAAACATATCCGTCTTTCGATCACACCTCCGTCTCGTTCAACAAGATGCTCGATGTCATCGGGAAATCCAGGAACATCGAGATTTTCTGGGAACTTCTACAAGAGATGGGACGGCGTCGTTTGGTGAACGACAAGACTTTTCGGATTGCATTGATGGTTTTAGGAGCTGCAAGAGAGCTAAAGAAGTGCGTGGATCTCTTCCACTTGATGAATTCCAATGGCTATGCGTACAATTTAGGGACCCTGAATAAGGTGGTTGAGGCTATGTGTGGACGTAAGCTAGTTGTGGAGGCTAGATTTGTTGTTTTCAAGTTAAAAGAATGGATTAAACCCAATGGGGATACTTACAAGTATTTGATTAGGGGTTTCTGTGACGGGGGTGATGTCATTGAAGCTTCAAAAATCTGGAATTTGATGGTGGATGAAGAGTTCAAGCCTGACGTGGAAGTGGTTGAGAAAATGATGGACACCTTTTTCAAGAAGAATCAGTATGACGAGGCTATCAAGCTCTTTCACACAATGAGGGTAAAGAGGATAGATGAACTTGGTCTCTCAGCTTACAGGCTTGTGATCAAATGGATGTGTAAGAAGGGAATGATCTCTCAAGCACAGGTAGTGTTCGAAGAAATGCGCCAGAGAGGTATTCATGCTGATAACTCAACAATGGGATTTCTTGCATATGGGCTTTTAGCAAGAAGGAGAGTTAGAGAGGCTTATAAGATTGTGGAAGGGATTGAAGAACCAGATATAAGTGTCTACCATGGCTTGATGAAAGGTCTTTTGAGGTTGAGAAGGGCAAATGAAGCAACTCAGGTGTTCAGGGAGATGATCAAAAGAGGTTGCGAACCAACTATGCATACCTATATAATGCTGTTGCAGGGGCATTTGGGGAAGAGAGGAAGAAAGGGGTCAGATCCACTTATCAATTTTGACACCATATTTGTGGGCGGATTAGTGAAAGCTGGGAAGTCATTGGAAGCAACCAAGTATGTAGAGAGGGTGATGAGCAGAGGGCTTGAGGTACCTAGGTTTGATTATAATAAATTTTTGCACTACTATTCAAATGAGGAAGGCGTCATTATGTTTGAGGAGGTTGGGAAAAAGTTTAGAGAGGTAGGGTTAGTTGACTTGGCAGACATATTTGAGAGATATGGGCAGAAGATGGCTACTAGAGATAGAAGAAGAAACAGAGATCCATTGCAGCTTTGAAGGTTCTACTGAGTAATGACTGAAAATGTCTGAAAACCTGAGGCTATCCTGAATTATGCGGTGACGTCAACGTAGAGCCCAATATTTATCATATAACTGATGAGAAAAGATAAGATTTTCTTGTGACCAATCTCACAAGGTACTTTCACCTGTGATTTTAAATTTTTTTTATCTGTTATTGTTTATGCTGTTTATTCCTTTATTTCTGCTATAGTCTGCTGGAATCATACTTTACTTTTTGATTTAGTCCACCTCAGTCGCACTTTATTTTCACTTTAGTTATAGAAAAACACAAAGATTCTTTTGGGAATAGTTTCTGCTGTGGTTCAAACTCTGTCTTTTTTTCTCTCTGAAGGAAAAAGAACTGAGGGAATTTTGTGGCATGAGCAAATGTGTCCCCGTTATATTGTAGAGAGGTGAGGTTCAATTCTGATACTTGTTGCCCCAATTTGATAATATGCTTCAATTCTGATACCTGTTGCCCCAATTTGATGATATGCTTAAAACATTTACGTGGTTGAGTTTCTGATGCATGATTCGGTGCAACTCTTGATGCATTTTGAGGTTATTATGCAGTTTATGGCATTCTGGAGTAATGGGTTGCAGTAGGTTGAAAGTATTTTTACAATTCTTTAATCAAGAGTGAGTTAATGAATTCGGCTGGTGCTTTGCTTGATGCTTATTTGTCATAGTCTGGGTGATATTTCTGATTGGTTGTTTCTCGTTTGTTAAGATGGTTTTAATTTAGGTTTATAGTCAGATTTAGAAGAAGTTTCTTGGTAAACATTATTTGTCAGCACTGGCCCTCTGCTTATTCTTTCTTATTTTGGACGGTCTACTTATTCTTTCTTATTTTGGACAAGTTATGGCATCATTTACTTCTAACTCACTGTCTCTGTCTTTACGGGGGGCATTGGCTCACTATTAAGTCGTCACGAATGTTTGTCAAGTGCGTTACAACTCACAGTTCTTCACACATAACTTTCTCTGGTTACACTTAAAACTAACCGTTTTAACTTTTATTTAGTTTGTCCCATAGATATTCCTAATTTGAAGTTATAAACCATTAATCAAAATTCATTGTTGCTTGTGTTCAATGCAGGAAGGTGGGGTTGTGGATATTATAACCAGCTGGATGGACACGCACCAAAACACACAGTTGAGCTGCTGAAGAGACAAGAAAATGAGATTGCTTCATTGAAGGAAAAGCAAAAATATCTCAACAAGGCTACTGGGGCACTTTTGACAGTGACAATTATGGTGCTGATTTGGAATTAAAGATGTAATAGCTGTGTTGGACTAGGTTCTGATGCATTATGTCTTGTCGGATTAGTACTACTAGTAGGATTAATGGATTATGTTATGTTGGATTAGGTTTTATTCATGTGGCTCTAATATGACTAAATGTGCCACAATTTCGGGTAGGTGACAAGTTAAGTGTCAGGGCTAACACTTAAAAAAGTCCGTGAGTGCTGTACTGATTTCTCTAAATGGGCATTTCTAAGAAGCTTTATAGATCCTCCTAATTGAAATGCTGCTTCTTGAACTTGTTCCACAGGAGCTTTGGAGCAATTGTGCCGCTACAAAAGAAGCTGTGTTTTTGTCACCTGGAAAATAAAGGAAGAAGCTGTATTTAAAGGGGGCAGTCCTATATGTAATAATGAACATGTGGGACACCATGCTGCGTCCTTGGGTTAATAAACTTTAACCACTGCAACCTTACAAGTTTTAGTGTTCTATGGTTGAAGGCAACTTCATTCTTCCAGACTCATTGCTTCTAGATTGGTTTCATGAAATTAACCAAGGGAAAGAGAGCAGAATCGGCCAACTATACGATAAGGAGGGAGTGAGAGGTTGAGGAGGCTGAGGTGGAGGAGCTTGAACCTTCAACCATTCGCTCGCCAAAACAACAATTTCAGGCTGGACCAATCTCCCCTCTTTTCCGGTGACGAAGGAGAAACTCACCAGCGACAATATTAAGGATGGATACAAAATAAAATGGAGATGCAGGGGATCGAGCTACATCCCCATTTAACTGTTTATATAAATTTTGAAATTTTCATCATTTGTATTAATAATGATGAGAACAATTTGTTTACTAGCCTTTTAATTAATGCAACTTGTAAAATTAATTGGGGTGAAAATGGTAAAATCACATTAAATGTTGAGACAATTTCAATTAGAATCTCATAAAAAGGGTTAGAGTAATTCAAATTTCATAATCTTATAAAAAGGACGAGGGGAAGTAATATTTAATAAATTTTTATTCTCATTCTTTTATGCTAAGATGCCCTTAGTATTGCAATCTTAATAGGATTACACTTCAATTTTAGCTTATGCATGCGTGCTTCTATTTTTTTCCTTAACAAATTTTAAAATAGTAATAAATACTTTAATATACCTCTATTGAAGGCATGTTCAAAGTATTTTTGGATCAAATTAATGACAAGAATATTAATGTATAGCTAGAATAGGGATACTCGTGGCACGGTGCATGCAAAATTTCGTGAATCATCATTATTATTAGGGAAAATCTTAAAAAATGATTATTAAATTTCAAAATTCTAAATAAAAAATCACTGTAAAAATGTTTTGTCATTTACTTTTCGAATGTAATCTTTTTTTTTTTTTACAAGTATAGGAACCAATATTCATTTAGAATTTTGAAATTCAATAATCATTTTTTTGGGATTTTTTCTTATTATTATAACAATAAAAAAATTTCAAAATTTATATGGATACCTCCTTTTTGATTGATTTGCTTATGCTTTTCTTTTTTTCTTTTTAAAAAGACGTTGAATACTATGAAGCTACAATAATTATGCACATGAACATGTCAGTTGGGGATGTAGCTCAAATGGTAGAGCGCTCGCTTTGCATGCGAGAGGTACAGGGTTCGATCCCCTGCATCTCCATTTTTCTTTTTCTCAAATCTTATCCGCATATTAGGTATTCTTCGCAGTGGTCCCTTCTTTTTCGACACTCATCAAGCTTTTACCATAATTTAATTTTCTATCCTCCTTTCTCCGTTAAATAAGCAGCCTACTCATGCTATTTGCTTTACTCATTTTCAAATGCGCCAGTAATGAGTCTCCCCTACCCAAGATAGTCCCAATCTCCTGCCTTGTCTCCATTCTTCCCTCCAGATTCTCATTTCAAATTTAATATTTTAGACTTCAAATCCTTTCAAAATCACCGATTATGACTGAAAATGTCCGAGAACCTGAGGCTATCCCGAATTATGCGGTGACTTCAATGTACACCCCAATATTTTTCAGATAACTGATGAGAAGATTAAACCAAGATCAAGAAAAAGTAGTATTATTTGATAGAAAAGAGACATTCTTCAGTGTTGCAAGGCTATTTGTTCACTGGTGTTTGATTTGTGCTTAGATGATACTCAATATTCACACGAAAGTAAGGGAGGAGGATCATGCCAAGTCGTAGATATGTTGAACGAATATTTCAGAGTTGCAATATCAAAATTTCATTCCTGAACTCTCAGACCAATCAGATCTCTTCATAAAAAATTAGTGCTTGTTTGGAAGATGCCTCAAGTCCAGTGGTGACCAATGAATAAATCATACAGAAGAAATCGCTAAAACATATTGGATGAATGAATTACAACAAAAGGCTTTGAAAAAATAAAAAATAAAAAATCTGTTGCTAGCTTGCAAAGAACTTGTCATCCTCATTCCTGATCCAGTTGTGGACAAGGGGGAACACATCAAGGCTCCGGGTGCTATATACATTTGCTGTGCCGACCAAACAATCCATCCTCTGAAATTGTACAACTAATTTCATCAGTGCTGCAACAAATAACTGCAGGTAAGTCAATGCATCCTTTTGTTATGCTCGAAATGAGATAATTTCATAGCTACAAGCCTACAGCTATCATGAATTGGCAATTTTCAACCTGACATCATTGTCCAAACCTACAATATTACAAAAGGGTATTGCAGTGCTTCATGCATAATTTGCAGTGAGTGCTTCGTTTACAATTTCTGATATGGTACCCGATAGGCGAGAACAGTTCAGAGAGCAATCGGACTAAGATCAATCCAGATCCTAAGTCTCACTGGTCCAAATCAAAGTTCTTCTCCTCTTAATGCATCCTTTCAATTTAATTTTAGAGAAAATTGTTTTTTTAAACACAACAATCAGACCAAAACCTAGTAAGCCCTCTATGGCTTTAAGTTTAAGCTAATCATATTTCTCAGTTTCTCCAATTACCGCTTAATCACCTTGTAATATTTTGTCTTAATTTTAAGATAAGTTAGGAATGTTTTTCATGTGTTGTACGGAATCTAATTTGAACTGTATAATTATTCCCAAGTGATGAACAATATAGCTTTCTATAAATTTTAGATTACATATATTGATAATCTAAGTGAACGCTAAAATTACAAATTAATTCATTATTTTTCACACATGCCTTGACAGTCATTAAAGGCTATTATGGAGATTAAGCTGATGTTTCAAATTGAAACCATATGCTTAATTCCAACCTCATATCACTGAAGAAGTTCCATTATTCGCACTTAGTTATGTTAATAACAGAACAGTCCGCGTAAGTGTTTAACCCTTAATGTTGCACCAGACAATATGCTACTATCAAACTGACAAGCATAGAATATTTTACCAGAGCAAAAAAGATATTGGGTTCTTCTGCCATGGTGAAACGTATTGGCGCTCAATCAATCATTTTTTCACAAATGGTTTCTGGCAAACAAGCAACTGCAATTCACTGCCATCCTGAAGGTCAATCACCCTTCCTTCCCAGCGCACCTGCGTTGCAACCGTGCGGGCCATCTCTATAGCTCCCTTGTTATCAGAAAGAATGATCCAACCCTATCAAGCAATGAAACCAGAAGTTCAATGTCAGGATATGTTGGACTATTCCAGTATACTTAGGGTCTGACACCTGCGCTACCACAGCATTCTAATTTCTAAACAAAAAGTATTTGCAGGGTGCATAACAATAAACGGTCATGCATCGTTAAGGATAAGGTCAAATAAATGAAAGAAAACAGTCTTAGTCTTAGATGTGACCACCTGGAAATGATAAAAAAGGAAGAGTTGGGATTGGAAGGGGACAAAATTAATGTTTTGCTTAAGAAAATTGCTGATAAAATTCGATTCAACTTACCACAACATAAAATTTTCTGCAGTCATGATAATGGATAAAGGGACGTGATTACCTCTGGACGCAGTATTCTATCCATCTCCACAAATAAGTCTTTCATACTGCAACTCTCTGAAGCTAGATGAGAGAGAAGTCCATTTGCATGAAGCATATCATATGTCCGGGGGTAGGTTGGGAAAGGCTCGCACCTGCACATCAATAAATGGGTTACATAAAACAGAATTTTCCTTAAGCTCACGAGAGTTTATTTTAGATGAACGCCAAAGATATTGAAAAGCGCATAAAATGCGGATTTTTTTTTTTTTAGTTAGATTTCCCATAGACTTTCAGGGTAACAAATTGGGTGCCTCAGGACTGCTTCTTCTCCAACTATCAAGCAACACCGATCTATTGTTTGACAAACCAGTGTGCTAATAAAGATGTTCTCCACCACCCCCCCTTCTCAAAAGAAAAGGAAAAGCAGACTCAAAAGAACAAGAGCATACCAGTCATGAAGAACGCCGGCAAAACCTCTATCCAGTATAAGAGGAAGTGTATTAGAAGCCTGGACAGGAACAACGTTCATTACCCACACTGATTTTCTTCGCTCCAGGAGAGCATGATTCAAGCCCCCATATTTAGCACTCATGTCCATCACATTGCGTATCATGTTAAATGGAGGCAGAGGATCTTCATCTCCTGGCCTTTTTGGATGGTCGGAGAAAATTAAGGGTGTAAGCAAAGACCAAAAGTTGCTGATAGCTGATCTCCAAAATTGCATGTCTTGATAGAAATCTGCAGGCTGAACTCCTGCAATGCTATAAAGAAATAAGCGCAAAGGCAAAAACCATGCAAATTGAGAATGAAAATTGAGAGGTGAAGAAAGAAGAAGATAATCAGAATCTGTTTAAAAAAGACACTTTCCATGAAGTCTAAGCTCAGCCACACTCAATCCAGATCCAGATCCAGATCTGTTCTGTATTGGTATCCAGCGCTTGCTAGAGGTCCCGCTTATACATGGCACCAAAGGCTTATAATATGACTGAGCAGCATCCCCTTCTTTACAAAGTGGTATAGAGTCCTGCTTGCTACAAAATTAGAGGGGGAAAAAACAGAAAAAGAAAAACACATACATCAATAAAATCTCTCAAGTTATAGTACTCCACGAAGGACAATTGTTCAGTGGAGCAAGGAAAGAGCACAACTAATAGTTAGCTCAATATCAATAATCTTCCGTAAACATCTAATTACTATAATTAAACAAAGAAAACATTCATATTGTTTCAATTGCCCTTACCGTGATGTATAGCATTTAGTATCAGCAGTCTTCTGCCAGATAAAAGTCTCATCCTGCTGAGCTAGAAGAGTCCAACAGATTTTTTGGGTCAGCCCTTCCAGTGCGTTCAA